CAACACTAACTGGAGTCCAAAAGCAACAAGCACAAAACCTGGCCTCAGGAGATTGCCCTTGTTACATTAAATAACAGTAATAATAATAATAATAAGAAGAAGAAGACAAAGGAAATAATTCCCAAATTATAATAAAGAGAAGACAAAGGAAATGTTTCCTTATGAGACAACAGTGTGTAGGGAAAGTGTCTTTTTTTCCCACCCATCCCATTTTGTATGAGTAGATATTCATGAACAAAGGTGAGTTCACTTGAGGGTGCCAGGGCGTATGGTTTGGAAGGGTCCAAACAGGAACTTGGTTGTTTTGTTGCAATATCCTCTCTCATGAGGTAGCTACAGTCTTCAGTGTCAAATGCCCCTGGATTTCCTGACACTGAAACTTTTTATTAATATCCAGGTTTTCCATTTCATTTATAAAAGGGTGTGTGAAGTGCATTCTACCTGCATGTAGACATCTCTAATGGCTGCAAATGAAGTCCTGCCTCCCTGGCTATTCTCTACCACTGTAGAGAATGGCCACAGTTCACCTGGAGTGTCTTTTTTCTAACTGGCTAGTGTCACAGCAAGGCATTTACTGCTCACACAGACTGCTCCTCCCGGCTGGTACTGTAGACCCTTCCTTCACACCAGTGATTGCAGTGGGGTGTTTACTTCTCCGTCTTACCCATTAGGTGGTAAGCTCTGGGAGGGCAGTGATTGGGCTGGCACAGATATAGCATTCAACAAATATTTATTGCGAGAAGAAAAGGACAGAAGGAAGGGAAGGTGGGAAGAATGTAGGGAGAAAGGAACAGAGGATTAAGCCTAACATTAAAGTTTTCCATGAGATAAACTGAACTTTTCTCTGCTCATGGTCTAGATCTCAGCCATAATAACCCCTTAAACTCCATGCTCTCTTCTATACACCACTCCTCACCCTCTCCACTGCCTAGCTTATGCCCTACCCTCTTCATGGGCTGGCTGTCTCTATGCTCCGGACATCTCTGCTTGCTCATGCAGATCAACTCCTCACCCTGCTCTGTGCCCTTGGGAGGCTGGCTACCTATGGCTTGCATCAACAGGTTCCTTTGTTTTGTGACTTCAGTTGGATTCATCAAATGGGAAGCAATGGCAGGAGACTGGCAGGCAGAAAGAATGATAACATGGAATTTACTCTCCTGGTTCCCTTCTGGTCAGGTGGCTGTAGGCTGGCTGCTTCCCTTGCTGAGAGCCACAGCTGCTGCCAGGAAACCCTCTCCACACAGCCCCTCTCTCTGGGTCCCATAACCACTTTCTCCTCTTGCCCCTACAGGCCAAGGGGGTAAATGGCTCTCCATGGCTGTCCGCCCTAGAGTATAGTGTGAGGCCTTGTTGGTTATCCTTAATCCCGCCTACAACATTGTAAATAGCTTCTCCTTGAAAATAGCCCCTCCTTCAACTCTCCTTAATTATTCTGTTTGAATGTGCCATCTGTTTCCTGCTAGGACCCTGACTGATGCAGTCTGCATCTTTACCTCTCAGCAGGCTGCCTATTCTCAAATGCCTACTCAAATCATGCCTCCTCCAGCTGATTTGCCTTGTTTTCCTAGTCAAATAAATCTCTGCTTTTTAGGTCTCCTGTCCTACTGTGTGCCACTAAATTTACAAATTAGAGTTTCTTATGTTTCTATATGACTTTCCCACAAAAGTGGAAGCCCCTCAATGGTGAGGAACATGTCCAACTCATTGCAACACTCCCAGTGAAGAGCAGAATGGCTGGTGGGATAGACATGTCCAATAAATGCCTGTTAAAGAGAAGAGAAACAGTCAATATTTGGTTTTCTGATATGATATGGAATAAGGTATTACTGTGCAGTGCTCAACCCCAAGACCACAAGGCCACTTTCTCCACGAGAACTGTAAACCTAGCTATGGCCTCATTATCCATGGCTATCAGTACTGACTTGCATGCCTCTGATGAAGGGGAGCTCACTCACCCACACACAAAGCCCTCCCCCAAAAGAACTATTTTGACTGGAGATGATATCGTCTATTACTCAGCTCAAAGCTGCCTCCTGTAATTGCAACACTCTAGTCCCAGCCATGGCCTAGAAACCATATAGAAAAATTCTGTGACTTTCCCACAGGATAGGCCTTCAGAGCTTGAGGTGTTTGTGTCATGACCAAGTAATCATGACCCTCTCTCCCTCCCTATCTCCCTCCTTCCCTCACTCCCTCCCTTTTTTGTTTAAATTCACAAAGCAAAAATTTATCTGCAACCTTCTACAGGTTTCTGTCTGCACACAGGAGAGCTGATTCGGCCAGAACCCAGAAAACCCCAGCCTCATCAAGAGATGACACGTGGCCTGGTGGGCCTCACCCAGGGCACACAGCTTTCCCAGCCAGCAAACAAACAAGCCTTGGTCAAAGCGGTCACAGCTGGCACATGGTCGCTCACAGACACTCTGGGCATGCATTCCCGTGACTTAGAAAAGAGGAGGCCTTTGGAACCTGCCAGTGTTGTCTGCTGATTATGAGGTATCTGGAACCTGGGCCCCTCAGCAACAGCATGGTGCTCTGCAAAGGTCAGCTGCTCTTCATCCTGTCTCAATGATACACAGTTTTTTTTCCCCAAAACTTTAGTAGCGCCACTCTCCCTATCACCTGTCTCTTCATTCTGCTTCTTATTGTTCCTTAGATTAAAAAATACCCTTCTTCCATGGGAGGTTTGAACCTAGTCGTCCTGAGTTTGAATCCAAGCTATCCATTTATTAGCAGAGTGAGCTTAGGTAAGTCCCTTCATCTTTCTGAATCTTGAATTTTCAAAGCAAAACAGGGCTAAGGGTAACCACCTTCCTGGCACTTGGCAGGTGCTGCATAAACATTTGTTGCATGAATGAATGAGTGAATGAATGAGCAAATAAATGGATGTGCAAATGAATGGATGACATCCAATTATATCCATTCTACCCCATACCCATTCTGACCAGGCACAGAGGTACCTCTTGGGAGTCTAGTTTAGTGGAGCACACTGATCACAGACTTGCACTTGTGATTTAGCCTAATGATTTTCTTGACCCATGAACTTAGCTAAGTCACTGCACTCTCTAAATTTCCTCTATTTCCCATCAGTCAAATGTGAATGTTAACCTCTGTGTTGATTCCCCTGCCAAGTTCTGGAAAGGCCCAAGTTAAAGCAGAGATGACAATGCACTGTGATCTGGAAGAGACTGGTCACACACCAAGGCTTCTCTTCACATGGACTGCTCATGTCTTGGAGCCAAGGTGAGAGTCCAGGGGCCCTCCTGGTGCCAGGAAGCTGAGCTGAGGTGCTTTCTGACTTGCTGCCAGGCAGGGCATTCTCCTGCCAGCATCCTCATTCTTTTGCACATAGGTATTTTGTTCATGCACAGGAGGCCCTTGCTCTTTTGAGAGAGACATAAAGAGAAGAGTCAGCAGAAAACCTGCAGAGGTCGGCAAATGTGCTCGAGCCATCAGCAAGTCCAGGGTCCTGTGTGTTGGACAGAATAGAAAAGTTCAGTGTGAATCTGGGAAAAACAAGAAAGTGGATATTGATGGTCTCTCCGGCTTGAATCTCGTTCCTCCAGGTCCCACATTTAATACAGGTTACTCTTGAGTTCACCTCTGGGTTCTACTTTGGGATTACTGGTTATAGTTGATAGCAATGGCAGAGGCTAAGTGAGGCATTAGATCAAAGGACCCCTTTTCTGTCCTTTTTTTTAGCAGTAGATGAGAAATTCCCTCTGCCTGGAGTGTCCTCCCTTCTTCCTCCACCCAATCTCTGATGTCAAAAATATACCTATTCTTTTTTCAGGTAAATTTTATTGTGTATATTTAAGGTAGACATGATGTTATGGGAAACATAGAGATAGTAAACAGTTTACTATAGTGAAATAAATTAACATATCCATTATCTTAAGTCACCCATTTTCTTTTGGTTTTGTACCAAAAGTACTTAAAATCTGGTTATTTAGCATGAATCCCAAATACAGTTCAACCTTACTTCCTATAGTCCTCATGCTGTACATTAGTCCTCTAGATTTGTTCTATTATACCGATTGTTTTGATCTTGTTGTTCATTAGATCTCTAGATTTGTCTAACATTCTTCAAATTAGAGCTATTCTTGAAGATCTTGCTCAAATGTCACCTCTCTCAAGAAGGCTTCCCTGATATAGTCAAGCTGAAAGTCAACTTTTTCTCTTTGATCATCTAGGGCAGTCCCTAAACACAGCACATTACCTTTCATTAGACAAGTAATGATAAACATACTATTGAGAATTAATGATGTGCTACAAGAGAGTGTACTTTATATGTCTCCTCTCTATCAATCCTCAGAGCAACTTGACAAAACAGGTACCATTATTTCCCCCATTTTATAGACGAAGAAACAGCTTCTAAGAAGTTACAAAATAAGGAAGTCACAGACAGCTGAGACCATGGGGCCAGGTTGTCTAGCCCCATGTGACTTCATCTCTTTGAGCCTGTCCACCAGAACTTTCTGTGATGATTAAAGTGTTTCATATTGCTTTGTCAGTATGGTAGCCACTAGTCCCCTGTGGCTAGAGTACTTGAAATGTGGCTAATGCAACTCAGGAATTGGATTTTGAGTTTTATTTAACTTCGACTGACTTAAATTTAAGTAGGCACATGTTGCTAGGAACTACCATATTGGACTCTGCAACTCTCACCCACTCTATGTCATGCAATACAACAGCTATTTGTACTCAGTTCATATCACTCAATTTGAACTCCGGGCTCTTAGAAAAAACAGGGCTCTCAGGCTTCCTACAGAAATAGGTACTGAGTGCTCATGGTAGGCACTCAGTACCTATTTCTGTAATAAACTGTTTGCCTATGGTCTCCACGATGACCTGAGTAAAAGAGTTGCCTCAATCATGAAGCTGCTGGTTGAACCAGAAAAATCCCCATATTACTCATGGGCCTCAGGTGCCTTATCTATAATATGGAGGACATCAAGTTCAACTTTCAACAGGGCATCTTTAGCCCGGTAAGGTCTTACCTGTGTGGAGAGTCGGGGTCAAAGCAAGTCTGAGTGACATCGGTGATTTTAGGGTCACAGCACTCTCCACCATCAAAGTTGAACCGTTCATAGTTGCAGTCCATGTCACACACCCCGTTCTGTTGCTTCTTCATGAAGGCGGGGTGGCGCAGGTGACGGCAATCCCCGCCGTCATGGCCGGTCAGCGTGTGGTTGCACTCGGGGTCACAGTTCTCATCCCCAATCTTGCTGATGTCACAGTTGGCCAGGATGAGGCGGCGGCGAAGGGAGGAGTTGCTCACCTCCAGCACCTTCAGCTCCCAGGAGATGTTGTAGTGCTTGAAGGCCTCAGCCAGCTGCTGGTGCTGGAAGTCCACCTGCTCACGGGTCACCATCGGGTTCTTATGATCATCTTCATAGAGGTTGACCACGCGGTAGCGCACCACCTTGGGCTGGCGGAAACTCGGGAGCTGATTGTAGCTGGCGATGACCTCTGTGTTGTCACACAACGTCTGTCCGCACAGAGGAGGCTCCAAACTTGTGTCCAGCAGAAAGCCGTGGGCATTGCTGAATTCCACTTTGGGGCTGCTGCCATCCTTCATGGGGGACCAGGCATGCTTCACATTGTCCCAGTTCTCCTGGAGGAGGAGTTGAGGTAGAGCAGTGTGGGTGCCATGGGTTTCCATGTCAGACAGTATCTCCCGCTGAGTCCTGGCCACCTTCCACAGACTGAAGTGCTCGATGTAGCCCCGGTAGTTGTGATTCAGGGCACTGCCCCCTAACATGAGCACTTTGCACTTCTGGGTCAGTGGGCTGAATATGCCACCCACTTGCTCCCCAGAGGTGGCCACCTGCGCACCATTTACATAGAGCTTCATGAACCGCCCATCATAGGTGGCAGCTAGATATACCCACTGGCCTGGGAGGTAGCTGCGGTGGGCATTGATGGTGGTCACTTGCCGAGCCCGGTCTGTCTTCAAGGAGAAAAAGTAGCGTGGGTCTCTGTTGCCTTGGTCACTGATGGTGTGAATGCCCACGACCCATCCTCGGTCACGTGAGGTATAAGAACATTTGTCATACAGCCCTATGTGGCCCCAAAAGAGAAAGATTAATAAATAAAGGATGGAAAAGGAAGGGGGGTTAATTTATTTTTCTCTTATAAAATTTGTATCAGGTTATCCTAGACTCATCACTTTCCAACTGCTCTGTGGGATCCTAGCAGTGCCTCTGGGACCACCTCGAGGGCAAGGCAAGGGCTGGAGGAGCTGAGAGAGTGAATAAGTTGGGTTTGGGGCATTCTCATCACAACTTTAACCTGCGAAGTGTAACTTTTATTAGTTTTGAATATGAAGCATACAAGAAAGATTTTTGTTTAAAGAAAGGGTACTTCACCTAATGAAAATGCAACAACAACAGCAATAATAATAAAAATCTGAAAACCATTTTCCAAAGCTGTTGGATGGGGAAGAGGACTTCGTAATTAAGAGGGTGTTTTAAGTGTAAGATAATATACACGGTGAAAGGAGAAACAGAGGGAGATGATAATGAACAGAAGATGCTCATTTAGAAGGGAGGTCCCTACAACAGTTACCAGAACTTTGAGTGCACATCTGCCATTAGCAGTCATTAAATGATCAATGGCATTAAATTGTCAGGAAAGTTGGGGTATAAAAGTGAGGGTCAGGAGCTGAAAAGCTGGAACTTCATTCTCTAACAGGAATCTTGCCATTTATCCCCAAAGAAAGAAAACACACTTCAGAGCTAAACTAGAAAGGTTTTCAAAGATCACCACTACCAAACCGTTTGTTTGACAGGTGAGAGAGCTGAGCCCCAGAGAATAGAAGGCATTTGTCAAGTCACAGAGTCATTGACAGTATATATATATATATATATATTTAATAATAATGAGCAAAATCTCCTAAGCCTCTATGGCAGGCCAGACATTATGCTAAGGTCTGTATATGCATTAACTTAATCCATGTAATATCCCTAAGGTGGTGACATTAAGTTTCTCATTTAACTGATGAGAATATGGAAAGGAGATGGAGAGACAGGTTGAAGGTCAACTGCTTGGTAAGTGGATCCTAGATCCATCAGACCCTTAGATTCACCATCCTAGGCACTAATTTTATAGCAACTCTCCCTGCCTCACCAAAGTCATCAGGCATCTGGGCTATGCCACCTACCTGGAGCATGTCACACATTTGAGTTTGATATTTGAGGAAGTTCCAAGCCAAGCATCTCTATAGTTACTCTGGGAACCCCAGGAAGTAGGTTAGCGGATTCTCTCTGGATCAAATTATCTTTATGCTCACCAACCCCCATTTCCTAGCCTTTCTGGAATATACCCAGTGTCCTTGGCACAGACAAAGCTGTTGGATGGGGAAGAGGACTTTCTAATTAAGAGTGTATTTTAAGTGTCAGATGATGTATGAGGCCAGGTGGGAGAAGAAAGAGAGGGAGAGGAGAGTGAATAAAAGATGTTCATTTAGAAGGACAGTGACCGCTCTCAGCTGGAGAATTGTTGTGGTCACCATAACTCTGGGAGTTCACCTGCCATTAGTGCTCATCAAATGAGCATGGAGAGCTTCCAGCAAAATCAATAGAGGAGGCCCACACACTCTTCACTCCTTTGTGGGCAGTGGGAGCTTAGAATTGGTGTAAATCTCTTTGTTAGCAGCTGACATGGCCAGCAGTCTTGGCCCAGCATCTATGCCAATCTACACCTCTCCTCCCACTTCCTGCTCAACCATCTTTCAGGAAATGGCCAGAGTCTCCTTATAAAGTCATCCTGCTCTTACCATCAGGACAACCTTAATGAAGCACCAAGTGCCTCCTCTGATGTCCTCTGTGTCCTGATCCTCTATCTGGTAAAGGAGGGGGTTAAGTGAGGTTCTGTGTCACATACTAGGTCCAAGTCTGATTTTCTTTATTCTAGACTTCCCAATGACTAACATGCAAGGTACCTCTTTCAAGAAGTTCTTCCTGACTGCCCTGTGAATAGTGATTATTCTCTTCTTTGAACTCTTTTTACTTTTAGGAAACTCGACATGTGCTCTTCGGTTTTGGCATTGTCTGTGTTCTCACCATTATCCCCTCTCTGCTAAACTGTATTCTTCTCGAGAGCAATGGTTATGTCTGTGTCATTCCAGTAACCTGTCCAGCACCTTGCTACAGCAGGCATGGGAATGATTCTACATAGAGCAGGAGATGCGAAAGGGTAGGGATTTTAAGGACAAACAGAATCAAGGGCATTAACTTATGTCTCTACAACTAAAGTACAGGGAGAATCAGAGAATAAAATCTATTATTGGTAAAGTAGAAAGATCAGGATCTTTGGACTCACGGTAATTTACTTTGAATCTTGACAACAGCAGTTACTAGTTGTACAAATGGGGCAAAATTGCTTCACCTCTAAGCCTTAATTCCTTCATCTGTATCTCTAAATATATTGTCATAAAAGACATAGTGAATATTACATCCTCCGCATACAACGGCTGTCCATATGAGAGTTCATTGTTAAGATGCTGAAGGGTTCAGGGGCAATGTAGAGGATGAAAAGGAGTGAGGAAATGACAGCAAACAAAATACAAAGGCCAGAAAGAGAGGGTACCCTGAAGGCATTTTGCCCGATATATCAAGAAGGAAGGCTCAAAAAAGCCCCGGTCCTCCTCAAACCCACTGGCAAACCCTTCTTAGAAATCATAGATTCCGTCAGCTTAGATGATATCATGAGACTACATATTAAAAGCTGCCTCCCCACTGACTCCTTCAAAAGCCTAAGATCCAACTCCAGATTTGAAGTGAGTTGCCCCAGATCTATCTGTTGCTGCCCATTATGGGAACCAGTGAGAGCAGAGGTTCCTGAAGCCATGACATTCATGCTCTTTCCCACCTCTTAGCTCACCTTCTGTCTCTCCCAGCTAACCCTATCACTCATGAAAAGAAAATGAATGACCTTCTAACGAGAAAATTAAAATCTAAAACAAGATCCTTTTTCCCTCTCCTTCTCTGTCTCTCTCTCTGCAGGTTTTTATTTTGTCAGGGGCTCCCAGTCCCTGGTTTTCCTGTTGCCTTTGGAAGGCAGCTAGCCTAGTTAGCAAGGTAAAATGTTTACACATCTGTAGGGTGCTCTCAGTTCAGAACCTTGCCGGGGCTTGGGACCCAGGCTCAGGCCACCTCTGTTTGCAATTGAGAGAAGGGGGAAGAAGTGAGAAAAGGCAGATTCCGCCAAAGAGCTAAGAAATAAGGGGTGGCTTAGCCATGGGAGGCAGAGAGGAAGGGCAAAGAGAGGGTTTTCAGTGGAACCAAAAAGAAACACATTAAGGGAAATGAGAACCTTGAAGCAGCAGATTCACAAGTTCAGAGGGAAATATTTACCTGGAGTATAAGTAGTGAAAGAAAATCACGGAGCTTCCATAAGGTTGGGGGAGTATAGTGGCAATGGGGTTTTATTTCTATATGAAAATAACTTAATCAACAGTAGTCTTATTTTAGGGTCTGAAAGGGAAGCATCCCTGTATCACCAGCTCAGAACCAGAAGTTTGGCACCAGAGATCAGGCTTGACTTGCCAGGTAACCTTGCCTGGGACAAGTCATACCACCTCCTCTATGCTGCTGAACCTAATTTCCCTTCTCTGTAAAAGAAGGGGTCAGGATAAAAATGATCTCTTGCTAGAATTTAAGAGCTCTTTTGTTCTCTGTTAGAATGGTTCCTTGTAAGGAGAAGGTGCTCAAAAATATGTGTTGATTTGAATTAGATGCCTTATGTCATTCCCAACTCTTGCATGCTTAGGTTCTGTCTCCCCTGAGGATCTCTATACAGGACACAGAATGCTCTTCTCTGGAGGACACAAAAGAACGCCCACATTTCCACACTGCCCTTCCTCACAGTTCTCCATGAAGATATAGGCATAGTACAAAAAAAATGGTGCAAATGTGTCTGAAGTCAGCACCATGTGTGTGGGACTAGAGGATGATCCCAGGGCATATAGTCCCATGTGGCAAGATGGAAGGCCACATGCAATTTTGCACACAATCTACATATAATTAGCATATGTCTGTCTCAATGCGATAAGCACATAGAATTAGACAATGAAAGTGTGCAAGAGTCCCTCTACAGAAGTGTGTCTGGGCACACTGCACACAGGGAGAGGCTGAGGTGCAGCAGGAAAGGAGCCTGCCCTGGTCCTCCTGTGAAGGTACTATCGCTGGAACCCTGGCCAGCTGATCTTTCTAATGCACCCCATCTTCCTGCAGCTAGGCTGGATGTGAAAAGGGTTCCACAGGCCCCCAGAAACTTGATGTCTCTTTTTTTTCATTGCCTCTTTTTCTTCTCATCTATGCATTCAATTTCATCCCAGAAAGGAATAACATTCACAAAAGAAAAAAGCTCAAAGGCATGGAAAGAGTCTCTCAGAACCTTGGCTAAGGCTGTACAGAGTGTGGGAGAATACTCTGGGCATTAGGGGTATTCTCTAAAGATCATCACGGTAGATATTACCCCAAGGCAAGTCTGTCTGATGACCCCATGCCCCTCAGGCATATCTTCCTCCTGTATATTCCTCATACTCCTCCCCATTCGAAAACTACCTCATCACCGAGTAATTACTCATTCAAGATCTGTGCTTCCCACATATGTGGCTGTTTGCTTCATTTATAAATGCCCAACATCCAACCTGAAGTCTGGTATGTTGTAAGTGCGCTGTAGAGTTTGTTATTGAAAGTTAAAAATAAATAAAGAAAGGGGGGATACTTCCCTATTTCTGCCTTCTCTATAAGAGTATCTTACTCTTTATTGAGAACTTACTATCGTTTACTCTATGTTAATTATCTTGCCTAATCTTCACAACAAATCAATCAGCATTGTTCCCTCTTCAGGGTAGACTGATGCTCAGGATAGGGAAATGGTTGCCCAAAGCAACACAGTTCAGAATCCAGGTCTATAGAATTCCCACACCCAGGCTCTTAGTCATGGTCACCACATTAAGTGCCAAAGGCCAAATGTTTTGTTGTAGGCTGTTTAAAGGTATGGCCCCCTCTGGAAAGATTTCTGTAAGTTCTGCAGCACCCACACAAGCAAGG